TCTCTCTCTCTCTCTCTCTCTCTTTCTTATCAGCGACCCGGTACCGCGTCGCCGAGCACCGTGAAGTATATACCGAATGTATCGGTGCGGCTAAGGATGCAACGATTTCTCAAAATATCGATAACGATATTATCGTCATTCAGAACGTCATCGATAACGATATCGATAATTTTGAAAAATATCGATATTTATATAAAAAATGTATGTACATATAGGGGTATGCGTATAAAGGGTATACACGAAAAATTTAAAAAGATCTTTCAAAAATTTTTATCTTCATACAATTTATTGTCATATTCTTATCAGCAAATATATAATAAATCGCAGTCGTTTGCCGGAGATCACCGCATACATGGAGCAGAAGATCTATTACGGTTCAACGATTGAGATGAAAATGATGAAAACGAGCGAATTTACCAGACACCGACCAATTACATAATACATATTCCAGTGAATTCACTCACTTTTTTCACTCATTTTCATCTCGGTCGTAGAACCGTAACAGGCCTCCAGAACTGTAACTGAAAAATACGAAACATCAGTAAAATTCACCAATCGATATATCGATCTTATCGAAGGCAAAAAAAAATATCGATGAATATATTCTTATACTTGCCCCTCGATATCATCGATATATCGATATCATCGACTTATCGCTGCATCCCTAGGTGCGGCGTCGAGGCCAGCTCGTCGTCGTAAACACGCGCGTTCGCCGAGTCTCGGCGAGTCGATAGCCGCGTGCGCGCGCCCGGCGGAATCGTAGATTTTCCTCGCTCGCAGATCGTCGATAAGGGCGAAACAGCTGTTGATGCGTGCCGTGGCTTCGCGTTTCTACCAACCGCCGTTCCGCCGCGTCAAGTGGGGAAGGGCGAAGACCGACCACCTGGCCCAAACCTGAGCGCTTCGCTCTGTTTCTATGGAGCGCACAATGTTGCACGATCCCTCGGCGCGATCGATCGGCGTGCCGTGAACAAAAGCTCGCCGCACGTCGTACGCGTAACGTGGCTGCGTACGCGCGCGGGGAACATACGGTTCCCTCCGTCTCGCCGCCGGAGAAAATCCGCCGCCGCCGCCGCCGCGCGTTTTAAATCCGTTGACTCGAGGCAGCCGTCCTTTCTCGATCGGTATCTCTAAACTCGGATAATCGCGGACGAGCTGATTCGAGATTACCCGCGCCGTTCGCGCGGAAACCTACGCGCACAGATCGATACGATTCGAGTGTGAATTCGTCGCTGATTTCCCTCTCATATGTCCTCGCAAGTTCGTCGCTCGGCATCAGATTTGCGCGAAATGCCATTCTCAGTCCTGGTAAGTTCGGGACATTTCAAGTTTCAGAGACGCGGAGCGTCTCGGTTTTGTAATATTCCTGAGAAGAGAATACAAATCTTTCTTTCCGGTGCAAGATGACGAACTATCCCCAAATTTTATGAGTACATTTCGAGTCTGTTGCCAGGAGAATATCATTCGTCGAAGATAACCACTACTCGATAGGGAGTAAGAGAGTAAACTGAGTAATCGCTTCTCCTAGTACAGTGGGACGATCTCCTTCTCGGTGTACTCGTCGCGCGTTGTGCGAGAGCATCTTCGTGAGAGACTTGTGAGACTGTAGCAGTGAATAATTAATTCGCGTATGCGCGTAATGTTAAATATACGCGTACATCATCGAGCGAATTCGATCGTCCGCGCCGAAGGCAGCGCCGACGATCATCTCCGACTTGCAACCTCGATTTCGTTTTCAATGAAAATCGTTGCGAAAGAGCGAGCATATCGCGTTTGCTTTATTGCGTTTTTCCCGTTGCATAGAAAGCTCTCCGTGCTCCCTTCAGGATCGACAATAGTTATTGTATGCAAACAGCGCATTGGAACTTGCGATTAAACTTTTTCTTTTTTGCTCGAAACCGATACCACCGCCGCCGCCGCCGCGCCGCGTCGGTAACCATAAATGCGAATTCATGGATATTAAGGGTAGCAATAACGATTGATCGAAAATTCAAAATTGCCGGTCGCGGTTCGAGAGATCGCGTCGCCGGGTCTACGACGACGAAAACGCTCGCACGTGTTTGCTTCTGTTCGCAGCATCGGTTCGGAAGGGTGCTCGCTACGTAACTCGGAAGTCCCGATGGGGCTCGTGTGTCATCACGTGTTCTCGTTCGCGGAGGTCGTTAAACGTCGCGAAGTTGCCTCGCGGAAGATGCTCACGACGAGAAGTATCTGTATGTGCGCGCGCGCGCGCGTGTGTGTGTGTGTGTGTGCGCGAGCGCGGGAAAAGGCGATACAGTTTTCCTTTCTGTCTCAACCACCGACATGATTTTCCGCACGTGACAATATTAAAGATTCAGCCGGCCATGTGAGCCCGTGCGTTTCACTTTGTCAGGTTGAATATTAATTTTCGATCGCGGGCCGCGTTCTCGATCGCCGATTGTCGCCGCGGCGCGGCAACTCGGGAAATTATCGGCCACGCATCGCGACGGTACGGAAGGAACCGCGGAAAGCGAGGAGTCTCGCAGACATTTTAGCAACTGTCGTCAACCTCGAGAACGGCATTTTTTGCCGCATACTCAACAAACTCTGCTCGAGGAGGCTCTCCTCGGAGAGAGAGAGCGCAATCGGAGAAAGGCCGGCCCGATGCGGGAGAATATAAAAGCGAGACTTTGCGAAATTTGCAAGATCAACCGGCATGAGTCGCGTGTTCTTAATATATCGCCGTATCGCGATATTGTATTATCGATAGCGCCCTCGGCGAGCTCGGCGATAAACACGCGACGGACGCTTCGCGCTCGCGCAGATTACAATTTTTCCGCGAGCTAATCTCAGCGCGATATACACCGCGCGATCGTTATCAATCAATAACGCTAACGAAACGAAATTCACCGGACGTAACCTCCAATTAACACAAAGCCGCTACGAGAGCGCGCGTGCCGGATTTCCCGGCGTCGTGGGCATCGCGCGATTTATCTCGGCTCGATCTGCTCCTCGCTCGCCGGTCGCACAGCTTGCTTGACGGCCTCCGAATTCTCCCGATCGTCCCTTCACGTGTCCCATGTCGATGCCTGCACACCCACCGACACACACACACACACACACACATTCGCATAGGCGCACGCTCGCGCTAACCGGACACTTAAATATTCCAGATAAGGGCGCGTTATCGCGATCGTCCGCATTAAGGGGCCTTTGCGCGTCGCGGGGGGTCGCGATCTCTCGTGGTCTCGCCATTCATGCCAGCGCGAGTTAGCTGTCGCGACCTTTTCTTCGAGGCTTTTTGCCGCCATCTCTACCGGCATATCGCCGAAGATAGATCGATCGATCGAGCGACCGGCGGCTGACGACTCTGGTAGCCGTCGCGCGCGGTACCAGCGGTGGATTTAGAATCGCCGGAACCTCGTTCTCTTCCGAGAGAAGATCGCTCCTACACGCGTTTTCTAAACCCAAACGCAGCCTGACGTGTTGTCAATGCGCTTCCCGAGTCGCTACGATGTTAAATATAACGCGCCGTCGCAAGGACATAGGGCTGAAGTGAACGACTCGAGACAAGAGAGAGAGAGAGAGAGAGAGAGAGAGAGAGAAAGAGGGAGGAAGAGGGGAGGGAGACAGCGGAGAGAGAGAATTTCATCGGAAAGTTATTGTTTACCGTGCCGGTTTGCCCACGACGCAAATTGCGACGCTCCAAAGGAGAATATCACTCGAAAACAGGAGAGAGGACAGTCGCTCGAGGTTCTCGCGGTGCCCTGAGCGCGACCGCACGTCCTGAGAGATCCGCCACTGCGCGCGGATCGGATCGATGCGCGCGAAAAGCTGACCCGATCCGCTATTTAAAGGCATATCCCAGATTTTACTACGTGACGGATTTTATTCTGGGATCCCTTAATGGGACGAGTGCATGTACGCGGTCGGCCCATTCGATCGCGCACGCCCGGAGAAAGAATGCAATCGGGATAATAATAAGCCGCGCGGCGAAGGAGGGCGTATGGCAGGTAGAGAGAGAGAGAGAGAGAGAGAGAGAGGTGGGAGAGAGAGAGAGAGGGATTCTCGTTGCGGGAATCGTTGAATTATTGAGGCATCGGGAGTACGTACGATCGAGACACACGGGTTGTAATCGAACA